ATATATGGATTTCCACTTCTGGAACAATCATACGTTGGGGCAAGATAGAATTGTCCCCCTGCCCTGGAGACACAGGATGTGTGCACAGGCACTACCCCAGACCCTTCTTTCCTCTCTGACCTCTCTGAATGGCCTGCTATCCAAGACTCAGGTTCCTAGGTGCTGGTCCTTAGTGGTGAGCTGGCCCAGGAATGCGATGGAAAGCGTGGTGATGGGCAGCTCAGTGACACTGCCTGAGGCCTCAGGCTTCTACCTGACCCTGGGCGGGGCCAGGCAGCCACACTGTCCAACACACAGTGTCACGATCTACCTGTGCTATGCCTCCTTTCTGCTCTCCAGTCAAGCTGAGAGACTTCGAGTCGGCCGTGAGCAACTTTGAGAAGGCCCTGGAGAGAGCGAAGCTGGTCCACAACAACGAGGCGCAGCAGGCCATCATCAGCGTGAGCTGCCCACCCCCTGGGCCCTGGCTGCCGGGAGGGCGTGGGTGGGTCCTCAGCCTCAGTCAGCCAGAGCCCGGGGATTTATTACCCACCAAATGCAGGCCGCATTCTAGGTGGGGTAGTGGCTTTCAAATGCTCGCTGATGCTCTCAGTTTATAGAGCAATCCAATATACCTATTTTTATTTGAAATAAACAATAGAAATGAAAGTTTAACAAAGCATATTTACCTTTACTATGTAGGCTATTTCTTATTATATTTTCCTTTTTCCTTTTGCTAAAGTTTCCATTTCCTTTTGTTTAATGCTGGTTGAAACTTCGACTGATTTTAGGGCTTGCCTTTTGGAAAATGCTGCTTCCTCCAGGAGACAACAAGAAATACAGTGTGACTGCCTCACTCACATGCCTTCAGCCAGGCAGCCTGCCACATGCCTCCAGTTAGACTCAAATGAATTAAAAGTAAATCAAATTTAAAATTCAGTTTCTCAGTCACACAGCCACATTTCAAGTGCTCAAAAGCCGCATGTGGCTTGTGGGTTCCAGAGAGTGTAGATCTAGAGGATTCTCATGGTGGCAGAAATTTCTGTTGGATAGTGCGGGTGTAGACCATAAGGGTCAGGAGGCAGAGACCAGAGGTGAAGCCAGAAGGGGTCTGCAGGTGCATCAGACTTGCCACTGCTCCCAGAGCTGCTCCAGGCAGATGTCCACCCTCAGTAGGGTCAGTGCACTGACCTCAAAGATGCACAGGCAGTTTGCATGAGTCCCCTGGCCTCCCCACCTCCCACTACCCCCCCTAGGCTGCCCCATGTTGAAATTCCAGAGCTTCCTACCAGCATGTGGCTGGACCCCAGTAAGCATCTACTGGCGTGAATTAATCAGGGCCCTTGTCCTTGGGGAGCTTGCCCCTGTGGTTAAGAGAGGCCAGACATAATAATGAGGGGGGCACCACGAGGGGCATGGCCTCGAGGACCAGACTAAAGGTTCAGCAGGTACTTGGGAAAGGGAGCAGGGACCCTGGGAAGTGGCAGCCAAGGATGCTCTGGTTGGAGGTGGGCCCCCTGCTGGGCTTCGAAGGACCACAGAAGGGTTTGGCCAGGCTGAGAAGGGGCAAGAGCACTGAAGGCGCTGGAGGCCATGGGCACTGAGAGGTCTGTGGGAGGCAGAAAAGAGCCCTGGGGCCTCACGATGGCAGAAGGAGTAGGGCCAAAGGACCCTAGACGGTAGGTGGACCAGCTGGGACTTGAAGGGCTGGGAATAGCAGAGGGGCGACCTGATCTACTCGGATTTTTAGGGTGTGAGCTCATGGTTTGTGAGGACGCTGGTGAGGCCACCCCTTTCCTGTCATGGTGGGGAAGTCGCCCCCGAGAGATTCCACCGTGTGGCAGTCTGTGCTCTCCTGTCCCCCGTCCCAGGGCGGCTTAGGCCTGCCACACTGCTGTTTTCTTCCTCTGTAGAGGGGGTTAGCTCCCCAAACGTGCACCTTGCCCTCCAAAGGAAGAGCGCTCCTTCCCTGAAGCCCTGTTGCTGCCCCTCCACTTGCACGCACCCGTCTCTCGCCCTTAATGCCCTTCTGCAGGGTCACTCTGCAGCCGGAGAGGGACAGCTCCACAGTTCAACCCAGTAAATAGTTGCTGGCCACGGGCTGGCTCTGAGCTGCCCAGTCCAAAGGGGACAGCTGTGGTCCTGGCCCGCAGGAAGCTTGCTGTCAGCAGGAAGGTTAAAACAAAAACCCTTGTTCCTGACCAGGGCGACAGGGACGAGGGGACCCAGGGTGAGAGCGCCCCACTGGACGAGGCAGGGCTGGGTTTTGCCATCAAGAGGGGTCTGGGGTCGCCTTGAAGGCTGGGCAGGGTTTTGAAAATGAGAGGCAGGGGCGCCTGGGTGGCTCAGTCGTTAATCGGCTGCCTTCGGCTCAGGTCAGGGTCCCGGGGTCCTGGGATCGAGCCCCGCATCAGGCTCCCTGCTTGGCGGGAAGCCTGCTTCTCCCTCTCCCACTCCCCCTGCTTGTGTTCCCTCTCTCGCTGTCTCTCTCTGTCAAACACTCTCTGTCAAATAAATAAATAAAATCTTAAAAAAAAAAAAAGAAAGAAAGAAAATGAGAGGCAAAGAGAAAAGGCCCCACGGCCTTGGTGACCCCTCGTGAGACCAGGTCCCTGCCACTTCACCCTCCCAGACCAGCAGCTCTGGGCAGGAAGATCAACACTCCACAAGCATGTCCAGGCCCCTTCGTCTCTCTGTGGATGGTTCCTGAGTGCCTACTGCGGCTCTGCCTGGAACTACATATGCACAGGCCGAGCCCCAGGCCGCCAGGGAACCTGTAGACACCTCGGGAGCCCCTCTCAAGATAGGCCAGCACCTCAGTCCCACCCGGCAGTGTGCTTCCAAGTCCCCTCCATGGCTTGCTGCCTTGCTGAGTGATTAGGGGCTTCACTGCCTCTACATTGGCTAGAACCAAAAGAAACTTCTGGTAAAGAGGTCGAAATGAGCAGACAAGAGACAACTCTGAATACATACCAAAGCCCGAGGGAGCTGAAGTCCAAGTTACCTGCAGCTGTGTATCTCCTCCCACTTAGTGTGGCTAATTCCGGGTCCATAAGTCTAAATTAACCCCGGGGCAGGAGTCTGTGCAGAAGCCCAGGGAAAATGGAGGGCAGCAAGCCTGGTGCAGAGTCCTGCCTTCTGGAGTTGGGGCTCAGGTGATGAAAGGGAAGGTGTGGGTGCCAACAGGGGCTAAGAGAGGTCACCAGCTTCTCTCCACCCACAGGCCTTGGATGATGCCAACAAGGGCATCATCGAAGAGCTGAAGAAAACAGACTACAGGGAGACGCTGAGAGAAAAGAGAGAGAGAGGTGAGTGCCAGGAGGTAGTGCCAGGGTCCCTGTCCGCGCACTCCAGCAGCTCTTCCAGTCCCAGGGTTGGGTTCCCTGGGGCAGGAGAAGGAGGTCCAGCCCGTGGCCACTGCCCTGAGAGCCCGCTCCTGTATTTCTCCATCTCCAGGTATTAGTTAAGCACTCGTCATGCGCTGGGAAAGTGTGGGATTTGGGGGAGACAGGGGTTCGGCCCCTGCCCCAGAAGAGCCCACAGCCCAGGGGCAAAGCCAGATTTGAGCTGTCAGCAAAGGGGCTCCTGCGTGTGCGCGGGAAGCAGCAGGAGGCGAAGACACGGGGGCCGGGGGGGGGGGGGCGCGCAGGATGACAGTTCTACTCAGCTTCTGCCTGCCCCGCTGTGGTCTATCACCCCAGCAGCGTGGCAGTGACCCCTCCAGGCACCCAGGCACAGGGGGAGATAGGGTGTGAGGTTTCTGGGTGCCCCAGCAGCCAGATGACAGCCCTTTATTATGCAGCGCCCGCCATGTGGTGGCTGGGTCTCCTCAGGGAGGGCATCTGCCTCTGCTCCCACAGGCCCTTAGAGCTGCTCTCGGGACCCACCGGGGCAATAGAAGCTCCTAGCGGCCTCCCATCCCCTTGGCAGGCTACATGTGGCAGCTGCCGGGCTCTTCACCCCCGGACCAGCAGGCGGCAGCATTGCCCAGGTCTTCACGGCCACGCAGCGGCCTCTTCCCTGCTAGGAACCTAGGGCCCCCAGCAGGCATCTTAGAGACCTGGGGCTTCCAGGAAGAGAGTATGGGGGAGACTCAGGAGGGCACTGTGACTTTTCTCTGTAGCTCATAAAAACACGGAGCAAGGGTCCTTTTGATCATAAAAATAGCTCTCCAGCTGAACTCTCTGCTAACAGTCTGCTCACATTTTGATAGAGAACCTCCCAGTAAATGATGAATGTGCTTCCCAGGGACAAAGAATAACGGAGAATGAGGATGCTGGAGAAAAGAACCCCTGTCGTTTCCCAGCACCTGTGTTATTTCTCATAGGGAAAGAGAATGTGCTCTGAGAGCAGACCGTCCTGGGTTCAAATTCTGGCCCTGCCGTTTATTTACTGGCAGCGCGACAACTGGCTGTGATTTCTCCGTCATCAGTCTCAGGTCCTTTGACGACGAACTCCAATCACTGACACTATGCCGTGAATTCCATGACAACCGCGCGACATCACCTCTGCAGCCCGCCGGGTGCCTGGAACAGGGCTGGTGCTCAGGAAACAATGACCCGCTGTCTCTCAGAAGCACAGGCCCCAGGGCTTGAGGTGCCCCCGGGCCCAGAGATGGACAAACTTTTACTTTTCTTCCCTCCTTTCTCTTGTTTTTCAGAAGAGGCCGCTGAATTGGAAACCTTGAGAGCAGCGGCGGCGGCAGGGAAGGAGAAGGAAAGCGCGAGAAGAGCGAGAGACGAGCCCGAGAAGGTGATGAAGCACTGGGAGCGAGAGCTAGCTGACAGTGAGAAAGAGACGGAAGACGAGTTGTCTCAGGAAACTCTGAGGGTCGCAGCGAGTGGACAAGAAGAAAACAGGCAGAGAGAAGTAGGGGAAGCCAGCTCCTTCAGAACAGGGCTGGGAGCCACAGGGCGAGACTCAGGAGATGTTGCCAAGGGAGTGTCCAGAGACCTGGGCACAGGAAGCGAGGGAAAGGAGGACAGGAAACCGTTAGAAGTGGGCAGAATGGAATCAAGAGGAATTTACAGGAGGCCTTCAGAGCTGGACCAGAAACCCTCGGGAGAATTAAGCAGAAGGAAATCGGAAGGACTGGAGAGTCAAGTTTCAGAAGACAACAGAAGAGAGTCAGAAGAAATAGGGAAAACAGAACTGGGAGAAACAGCAGAAGCAACAAAGGCAGAAAATGGTGAAAACGTGGAAGAAGGTGAAAAAGAAGATGAATAAAGCAGCAGGCATCAGGACCAGGGACCTTGGGGATCTTATTCAACTGGACTTGAAATTTCAGGCTGAGATTTTTCTTTCATAGGAGAACACGTGGACTGGGCTCCTCCACAGGTCGCCTCTGCCTCTTTCTGTTACTGTTTTCCTTTCAATAGATCTCTCTCACTCTTACAAACCCCAAGTCTGTCATTTTGCCTCCCTGTTCACCCACAAGAGCCTTAGAGAATGAGGACCCGGCTTGGGGTACCACTCTCCAAGCAGAACCCTGACCTTACCCTGGCCAGGTGACAAACACAGACTCCAAGCAAGGCCTGATCCCAGAGTGTGATCGAGGTGGGAAATGTGCTCCTCTCCCCTGGGCCTGTCCAGGGACCTCATGGAAGAAATGATAGGGGTGCTAAGCAGAAAGCATTTCAGGATGGTGAGGAAACAGGTGAGCTCCAAGGGACCAGGCTAGCTTAAAGGGGAAGAAAAGGAAAGGCCTGGGAGGAGAGGTACGTCTGGGCAGCCACTGGCCGTGGGTTCATCTTGCTGAGTGCCTGCTATGGTCACGGCACTGTGGGAGGCTTGATGGGAGAAGTGATGATGGGTGACGCCGAGGCCTGGCAGGCACGATGAAGTGAACGCTGGCATTGATAGGGGCATTGTGCTCGAGGAGCCCAGAGGAAGAGAGTTCCTGCCCGAAAACAGGGAGCAGTCCCCAGGAGGAGGGGCGGCTGGACTCCACCTGCGCCACCTCCAGGCGGTACAGTCAAGTAAATCAGGCGCCGGGGAGCTGGTTTCCTCCTCCGTAGAACGGGTATCTGCCTCCAGGGTTGGCGTCAGGCTTCTATGAGTGCTCAGCACAGCACTTGGTACACGGGAAGCTCTCCGAAATCCGACCGAGTTTTCGGTGGCTTCGCAGAGGAGGTGCCAGCTGAACAGCTGCCTCAGAGGATGAGCTAGGATTTCACTACATTATTCATCTGTCCCCCGGCTATGGCCATCCTGGTTCCATCTCTTGGATGGTCCTTGGAAAGGTTAGGGCTGAAGTTAGGCCAGCTAGGACCAGACCCCGACTAATGTGAGGCAAGTGAGGCATTTCAGATGCAGTATTTCACAGGGCGCCATGAAACTCACTAAGCAACATACAGTATGTTAATGTAATGTTGTAAAACACACACACACACACACTGCAAAACCCCCACGAGAAATACAATATCACAATTTTAAATAAAGACCGGATCTGACCTTGCATTTGCATGACCCTGCCTCTCTGGCATCAACCCAACCCCGGCCCGGGGCCGGGGAAAGGTGACTGCCTCCCTCTATCTAGAGTTCCTCGGGACCTCTCCAGGGTACACGTGCGCCGCGGCCGGCCGGGGCGGGACGCGCGACCACTTCCTCTCCGCGCCGAAATAGTTTCGGGTTTCGATTCGCCGCGCCTGCGCGGAGAGGCCCCGCCCCGCCCCCGGCCCGCCGCGCGCGCTCCGCCCCCGGGCTATCTAAGGCGGCCCGGCACGGCCCGAAGTCGCGCGACCGCTGGGCTCCGTGTCCCTCCGCGCAGGCGGGCGGCCTCGGAGAGCTAGTGCGTGCCAAGGCGGCCGCGGCGGCGCCCCCCTCATCATGGTGAGCCGGCGCGGACAGGCGGGAGGGGAGGGGCGGGGGCGGGCCGGGGAAGCACCCTGACGGAAAACGGGAGTTCGGGGAGATTTTCGGGAGGACGTGGCATGCAAATGAGGACCCGAGGTTCCGGAGTTGAGCTCTGGCTTGTTGGGCCGTGGGGTGCAGCCTGAGGTAGGGGAGACCCGGGCCGAGGAGGGGAGCGGGCGCCGCGGGAGCTCGTGCCGCCGAGTGTGGGCCGGGGCTAGTGCGGGGCGGGCATTCGTCGCCGGCTCCCGCCCGAGGGCCTTCTCTGAGAAGAGCCCGTGGCCGCGCCGCGCTCGGGGGTGCCGCCGGGAGGTGGAGCCGCTTCAGAGGAGACCGCTTACAGCAACAGGTGGTGTCACTTGTGGCTTTTAGCAGGCGGGAAAACAAGTGGCTCAGAGAGGTGCTGCTGACACACAGCAAAGTGGGGGGCAGAGCTGGACCCCGGACGCAGGTGCCCTGGGACGCCCAGTCCTGGGGCAGGCACAAAGACCACGACTTTGTGGGGGGCGGAGGGGCAGAGGAGGAGGCGGCAGGCGTGGTGAATGAGGCCCTTTGTCCAGCGCTCTCCTGCCCTGCCCCCCACCAGCCCTTCTGTGGGACCATTGTCCCCCCCCCCATCCCAGACAAGAGAGTATTATCTGTTGCCGCCCTTGTGGGGGGGAGGGAAGGCAGTCTTTGGGTAACCCTTCTCCACCCCCAGCCTCCTCTGCGCACCCAGAGCCTGGGCAGCTGTGGCTTCGCCCAGACAGAGCAGCCCCACCTCCAAAGAGGTCATCCTTGATAGGTGCCAGGAATATAAAGTTAGGGTCCGCGCCAGAAGCACGGGCCTGCGCTTCCAGCACTCTTCCCCGTTGAGAGGCGGCAGGAGTGGGGGATCCTTGAAGCCTCAGCTCTGACCAGCGGGAATTAGGAGCTTAGGAACGCTCAGACAAGCTCTCCGGTCCCTCCTCCACCACCACAAGCTGGCGGCTACCTGGGCCGGAGGAGGAGAAGGTCCAGTCCTGGGCTTGGGAAGGTGCCCCCCGCACCGGGGGTGCTTATAACTCAGGGCTGGGAGCCCCGAGGAGAACGAGGCCAGAGTCAAGGGGGCGAGGCCGGGGCGGGGGGGTGGCCTCTAGCGAGCCGGCTGACATCTGCTCTTGCCCTCCTCACAGAACAGGAGCTTCTCCCGGAAGAGCCACACGTTCCTGCCCAAGATCTTCTTCCGCAAAATGTCCTCCTCAGGGGCCAAGGACAAGCCTGAGCTGCAGTTTCCTTTCCTGCAGGATGAGGAGACCGTGGCCACGCTGCAGGAGTGTAAGACCCTCTTCATCCTGCGCGGCCTGCCCGGGAGCGGCAAGTCCACCCTGGCGCGGGTCATCGTGGACAGGTACCGGGACGGCACCAAGATGGTGTCTGCCGACGCCTACAAGATTACCCCCGGGGGCCGAGGAGACTTCTCTGAGGAGTACAAGCGGCTGGACGAGGACCTGGCCGCCTACTGCCGCCGGGACGTGCGCATCCTGGTGCTGGATGACACCAACCACGAGCGGGAGCGGCTGGAGCAGCTCTTTGAATTGGCCGACCAGTACCAGTACCAGGTGGTGCTGGTGGAGCCCAAGACGGCGTGGCGGCTGGACTGCGCCCAGCTCAAGGAGAAGAACCAGTGGCAGCTGTCGGCCGACGAGCTCAAGAAGCTGAAGCCGGCGCTGGAGAAGGACTTCCTGCCGCTCTACTTCGGCTGGTTCCTGACCAAGAAGAGTTCCGAGAGCCTCCGCAAAGCCGGCCAGGCCTTCCTGGAGGAGCTGAGCAACCACAAGGCCTTCAAGAAGGAGCTGCGACACTGTAGGTGGCGGGCGGGGGCCAGGGTGCGGGCAGGTAGGGGCCTTCCCAAGCCTCCCTTGCTGGGCGCGCAGTGCCGAGCACCTGGGACTGCCGCTGCCCTCCCAGCACGGGGGCCGAGTGGGGCCGCAGGGGTGGAGGCAGAGGCACAGTGGGTCATGGGGAGAGCTGCTTCCCAAGGACCCCTCTCTCACTGCGCCCCCTCCTCCCTGCCCCCCTGGATGGAGACCACTGGCCCTGTCCTTGGATGGGGGGAGGGACAAATTCCCGCACCACGGGAAGCATGTCCACATTTCCTACCACCTGAGAGGGAGAACCTGATTCGATGTTTCTACCTTGTGTTTAGCTGTAGAGCCATCTTTCTGAAGTAGAATATTCCATGGAGGGGCGCCCAGCTGGCTCAGTGGGTAGAGCCTGCGACTCTTGATCTCAGGGTCATGAATCCCAGCCCCATGTTGGGTGGAGAGATCACTAAGGAAGGGGTGCCTGGGTGGCTCAGTTAAGCGACCGACTCTTGATTTTGGCTCAGGTCATGATCTCAGGGTCATGAGATTGAGCCCACATTGGAGCCTGCTTAAGATTCTTTCTCTCCTCTCCCTCCGCCCCTGCCCCCCGCTAAATAAATAATAAAATAACCTAAAAAAAATATTCCATGGAATCCTAAGCTGCAAAAAAATCACAACTAAGACTACTGTGACTTGACTGGGTATGGTTCCCAGGTCTCAGGCTGCCCGGTGCACCTCCTGTGGCTTCCCGCAGCTCCAGAGAACAGCCACACACCTAGTCCAGACCCCTCGTCTTGTGGAGGGGAAAACGCCCAGGAGGGATGTGGGATTTGCCCAGAGCCATGGTGAGAGCCCTGGACTCTGTCAGCTCTAGCAGGGGCCTCCCCATATTGGGTGGGACCTCTCCTGGCAAGGGCTGTTTGCTCCGGGGAATGGTAGGTTTGGGATAAGGGAGGCCTTCATTTTCCTACAGTGGCCTCTTAGGGATATGTCACCCACTACTCTGTCCCATTAACCCATTTCTGATGTCCCCAAATTTTAGATTATCTTCCTCCTTGAAATATCCCCACCCATATTTCTGTGTTGTTTCGGGGGCAAAATCTGTGCCTGGATATGTGCTCAGAGGTCTCTTCTTGGCTCCTAAAGCTGGAACGCTGGGAAACCAGGGAACAGTGGCGCCCGCAGTGATGTCCAGGTGTGAGCCCTGCACCTGGAATTGCTTAGCAGAAAAGCACCCTACAGGCAGGGTTCCTGGTTAGAGCCGCTCTGCCTCTTGAAGTTGCCTTTACCACTAAAAACTGCCGCCCTTTCCTGCCTAGGACATGGGCCTGTTCTCAGAGCACAGCTCTCCCTCCCCTGTGGAGGGTGACGGACGTCCTTGCAGGGACTCAACTCTGAGAGTAAATACAACAGATCTAGTGACTCTGAAACGAGCCCTAAGGCCTGGAGTCTGGAAATTGAAATCACAGATACCCCAGGTCTCACCATATAGTATCATTATATCCCAAGACCCTTCTTACTCTAGGCCCTTTATAGGCTCTTATCCACCAAACAGGCCTGCATGGTACATGTTACAGTGACCAGGTAACTTCTGGTCTGGGTAGGCCCGAGTGAAAGGGGCACGGCTAAGAGTTCCCCAGGTGGTCCTGGGAAAATGGGTGTATGGTCACCCTAATGGTACTTGATTGACAGAAAAGGGTCAATCATGTGCCCCAGGCCAGAGGACTTATGCTCTGACTCCTTCCATCATACGACAGTTCCAACACTCTTTTGCTTTTCTACCCCGTTTTTCATGACTTGCTTCCCTCTTCCAGATGTGGAGCTGATAAGGCCGAGAGTCCCTTGGCCTATGCTGCCTATCCCTGGGTTACGAGTGTGTTGCTTTCCAAATCTGAAGAGAGATGTAAAAATCTACATAACCTGAAACCAGGGAATTTAGACACCTTTTTGTAGCTCTGACATGGCTATTAGTTTGACCAACTAAGGAAGGAGTGGATTATGGTGGATTGCTGAAGAACTTACACTTGATGTCGTCTTTTTTCCCTCTGAGCCCCCGTGGTCCTGGTGTTGGGTATTAGGGTGGCCCCTGCTCGCCTGTCCTGACTGCCCCCCCTCTCTCCCTGCAGTCGTCTCTGGGGATGAGCCCAGGGAGAAGATCGAACTGGTCACCTACTTTGGGAAGAGACCCCCAGGCGTGCTGCACTGCACAACCAAGTTCTGTGACTACGGGAAGGCTGCGGGGGCAGACGAGTATGCCCAGCAGGATGTGAGTGCTCCCCCGGGACACCCAGCTGAGGTGGGGAGAGGGCAGGGTCTTCTGGAAATGGGGACCGGCTCAAGGCGGGGACCAGAAGCCAGACAGCCTCTCAGGAAAAACGGCATCTCCTGCTCCAGCTCGCCCCCTCCCCAGGCTTAGTCACACAGAGGTTAGCTGCCCCTTCTACCCGCCTGCCCCCAGCACTGCCACCAGCCTGTGTGCTCGCCCCCAAGGCCTGGCCACCAGAGCCTTTTCCTGCTGCCGACTGATGGTCGGCAGCAGGCTCCTGCTCTGGCCTCTAAGCCTGTGTGGAGTTCCAAAGGTTAGGTGTCCCCAGCCCCCAGCGAGACTGGTTCTCGGAGGTCCCGGCCCCCAGGCCTGGCCTTGCCCTGGAGGAGGGTGCATTGAGGGATAGTGGGGCTGTGGGCTTCGGCGTGCCACACTTTTCCCTCCTCCCACTCAGCCACTCTCTTCGGCCCGCAGCCTCTGATGCTCGGTCCTTGAGCCACAGGCATGTGGCCCGGCTGCGTACTGCTCTCCAGCCTCTGGTGGCCTTCTCAGCGAGGCCTTCCTCCAACCCCCAACCCGTCTCCCCCACTTGTCTGCTCCGGTTAACGCAGCAGCCGTTTGACTGATTGTTCGTTGGTCTCCCCACCTGCAGTCTTCAGTCGGGCTTGCTGTCGTGCAGAGCTGGGTGGCTGCATAGGTAACGTCCAGACCGGCTCAGCCATTCATGCGCTTGGCCGGGTTTAGTAAGCACCTGTTAGGCACCAGGAAGGGACTGTGAGCACAAGTAAGAGACACTTTATGGTCAGTTGGGAGAGATGGTCCGAGAGTCAGCTAGAACCAGGTGTAAACCAAGGTGTACGAGGTGGATTTTGATCCGAGGCATTTATTTCTGACCTCTGGGATATTGCCTGGGGCACTCAGGTGGCTTTTACCAGGATGAGCTGAGTAGCAGTGACAACAGCACTTGTCACATGCCTGTCACTGTTCTAGAATCTTCACCCAGACACTAGTTTAATCCGGGCCCTGAGGTCGGTTCCAGCATCATCCCTGTAGACAGGTGAATGAGCCAACGCAGAGAGGTTTAAGGGCCGCCGGGAGGTGGGGCACCAGGCTCTGACTTGGGCAAGTCTGGCCTTCAGCACCGCCTGTGTTCTCCGGCACCTCTGGCACCTCCACTCTCAAGTCAGCCTGACCCGTGTCCCTGGCAGGATGTCCTCCGAGACAAGGGCCACGTGCGCCTTTTACCTGAGGGTTGTGCTCAGTGGTGCTCACCTCTGCTAGGCCCATCCTTGGTCAAGTCTGCTCCGGGGGCCACCATGTCTGGCTTAGCGCTGTTGTTCTGTCCCCACAGGTGGTGAAGAAGTCTTACTGCAAGGCCTTCACGCTGACTGTCACCGCCCTCTTTGTGACGCCCAAGACTACGGGAGCCCGGGTGGAGCTGAGCGAGCAGGAGCTGCCGTTGTGGCCAAATGACGTGGACAAGATGTCCCCCTCCGACAGCCTGCCCCGGGGGAGCCGGGCTCACATCACCCTTGGCTGCGCGGGTGACGTGGAGCCCGTGCAGACGGGCATTGACCTCCTGGAGATTGTGCGGCAGGAGAAGGGGGGCAGCCGAGGCGAGGAGGTGGGTGAGCTCAGCCGGGGCAAACTCTACTCCTTGGGCAATGGGCGTTGGCTGCTGAGCCTGGCCAAGAAGCTGGAGGTCAGGGCCATCTTCACGGGATACTACGGGAAGGGCAAACCTGTGCCCACACACGGCAGCCGCAAGGGGGGCGCCTTGCAGTCCTGCACCATCATCTGAGTGTTCTTGCCACTGTCAGCCCCCCACTCCTAGGAAGGGAAAGGCGGGGGAGAGGGAAGCATGCCTTCTGCCTGATCTTTAAGGTGTTTTTTTTTTTTTTTTTACTCAGAGTTAACCTTTCTGTAACTTTTTAAAACCTTGTAACTTTTCCTGCCCTCCCTTGTCCCCTCTAACACCCAAGCTTTCACCACAAGATGGGGTGTGGGGAGCGCTGTTCAGGAACCCAGAGCAAAGCCGTAGCCGCAACCCCAAGCCCTGCCGCCTGTCCCGGGTCCCCTGCCCCAAGCCAGCCAGCGGGGGAGACTCCCCAGAGCTGCACGTCCCCACGGGGTGGTCACGGCGGCCGCAGGAAACTGGCCATGGATTTGAAAGGGTGGGGGAATCCCTGGGCTTTGACCCCGACTCTTAATCATTGCAGCCCCGTGATGTAGGCTGGGGCTTTTTACCAGGGTACAAAAGGGGCTTTACGTCCCACCTTTGGCCCTAAATGCCTATCCCCTCCTCCTTTACACTGTGACTAGGGAACATTGGACAGCCACCTCCCAGCTGGCTGCAGGTCTCGCCCCAGGAAGGGGGTGGGCTGGCCAACCTTTCCGGCGGTGTCGCTCTGCTGTGGGGATGAGGAGACTGAAGCCAGAGAAAGTACCGTCTGCCCAGTCCAGCTTGTGTCCTTGGTGCCTCCCCTCCAGGGGGTTAGTCGGTGGGGACCAAGAGCCAACGGAGTGGACCCCTGGCTGGTCAGGGCCAAGCCCCAGCTGGTGCCTCTGAGGAGTTTTTAACATTGGTACATGTGCTGTGGTTCCTGGGGTGCCCTCTGCTGCCCCCCTGCTCAGTAACAGGGCCTTGCTAATCGGGTTGTCACTGGATGAAAGTGCTTGAGATTTAAGTTACTATCCTGGCTTTGCCCGACTTCAGTGACTTGTAAGACTGACCGTGAAATAAACCGTGTTAATCCTGGCCGTGTACAGTCTCTCTCACCCTTCTGTGCCCAGCTCAGTCTTCCCTGGGGCCAGGGCTGGTGTATCAGGACTGGCTTTGTCCCACGGCTTGGGGCCATCGGTCCTGTCTCCCCTTTGCTGGCTGGGCACAGCTGTGGTGAGGCTGGGCAGCTGAACAGTGTTGGCTTTCATGAGGCAGCAGAAAGGAGAGCGGCTGATCTTAGACGCACACAGAAAGTGGCGGGGGGGTGGCTGGGTCTGAGGGACGTGGAGCAGAGCCTGTCCTCCCCGATTAACTGCGGCAACAGGCCCACAGGTGTGCCAGCCCCAAGAATCAGAGGGACTGCTCAGCCACACCAACGGTGCCTGGTCTTGGGTTTCCGCCAGTTCTCTAGGGAAGGCCACCCTCAGGTCACGGTGTTGCAAACACAAGGGAAGACCTGACATTTGGGAGTTCCGTACAGGCCAGTGTGGGAGCTTCTCAGGCCTAACTCATACTATCGCCATGGCCTTGGCGCCAGTGGGGGAAGACTGGAAAGAAAGGGGCCGGAGCTCAGAAGGAAGAGAAGCAGTAAGTTACCTATTTGGTCCATGGTCCTGTCTCAGCCAGCTCTACTACCAAAGCGCCAAAAGTCTAAGCGTCAAAGTCTCAAATCCCTCTGCCTGGAACTTCTAAAAAGATTACCTGCCATGAACACTATGCTTGACTTGAACAGCAGGACACTGGCCACCACTTCCTCCCCCAGCTTGTCTCCCACACGGGACAGCAGCGGAGAAGGCGAGGGGTATTTACTAAGAATGCTGTTTCCAACCATGTGAGCTTAAGGTCTGTGACTGGACCCTGGGGCCCAGGAGCTGTGTGTCCCACTTGGAAAGGGTCTGGGGGTCGAGGAGGCAGGATTTTGTCCCTGTCCTCCTGTCCCTTAGCCTGCAGTGGCCGCAGGACTGTGAGGGCCTGTGTAAACCTCCTGAGTCAGCCCAGCCTCAGACTTAGCACCCAGCCACGCTCCACATGAGCTTCTAGTGAGTTGTGGTGGTCCTTACCATCAAATCACCCGTGACTGACATCAGGTGGGGCCCAACAGCATACTCAGGCCTGCTCAGCACTCACAGGCTGAATAGGTTTGGGGGAGGTGGACAGCATATCCCCCTGCCATGAGGCCCTGGGTGCCCACACCCCTTATGGGCAGGTGCTGAGCCTACAATCCACGTCCGTACCGGCTCCACGCTGGGGACTCAGCTCTGGCCTACCAACTCTGGAGTGACACAAAGCAGCTGCCCGAGCAAAGTGCCAGAAAGGGTCAAAACATTTTATTCTCTTAATTTTTTTTTTTTTAATAAAGTTAAACAGTAAAACAAAAATTCACAAGCTGCCTCCCTGTCCACCCCCCGCCTCCCTCCCCTCCCCGCAGTCTTCGGCGCTGGCTCCCTTTCCTTTCCCCCCACTCACACAGACACAGGGTATCCAACTAAGAAAACGAAACTGCTCTAAGGACGGGGAGACGAGATGAAGGGAGGAGGTGAACTGTGCCCACGTTCAAGGTTACACTGAGCAAGTCTGCACTTTCTGGGTTCTGGATGGTTTCCTTTCATTAGCCAAATTGAAAAAAGAAATTCCCTGGACCAGATGCTGTAAGGCAAAAGAAGGGCTTGTTAGTTGGCTCTAGGTGGGAAGATCACTCTACCGATTATGGGAAAGTCTTCAAGGGCGGCTTCGAACTCCAACAGAAAAACTGCCAAGAGCATCAACAGCCTAGGCCCTGGGGCCTCAGGGAAGCGTGTGAGCAGCTGTGTGTGTAGCTTCTTAGCCTCACTCTTGCAGAGAAGCCCCAGCACAAGACAGCTTAGAGACGCCTCCCTGGTCCTGCAGAGGTGTGGACTAACAGTCCCAAGGCATGGTGCGCCCAGGAGCCTCCCTGCCTCCATCCTCAGCAGCACCTGAGTGGATCTGTATCCTTCTGCCGCCTCCACTCCTGGGCCCCTCTGACAAAGAGCTACCTAAGTGGGGAGTCACGTTATGAGCCTGTGATCTGGGAACTCCGGAGAGCAGGAGGCTTACTCACCTTCAAAGCTGAAGCCCCCAGGACCGCCAAAGAATGCCTTGAAGATATTGTTTGCGTCAAAATCTGTGCAGCAGAACAAGAAACAGGACAGGGACAAAAAGTGGAAAAAGTTAGACATGTCTGAAGAGGAACTTATGACAACGCTGAGAACGGGTCCCCAGAGCTTTCCCAGCCGCATCCTTTACCTCCTTCCCAAAACCTCGCTGACTCCCCATGCCCATCGCTGCTCATCCCACTCGTAGGACACGCTCCTCCTTCCCAGCCAGGTCCGAAGGAAAGCTGTCTCTGCCTCAGCCTACTTTGCTGGACCTTCTTCTCAACAGCTGGGAGGCCATTTGGACTTACAAGACTCGCCCATGCTGTCTCCCCTATAATGCTGGGGCTGCTACTGAGAGGGCGAAAATCTAGCACTTCAACACTAACAACACTAAATCTAGGAATAAGATCTAAGGTTTACTGTATTCATTTGATTCCATGCTCTGTCTAGACTGTAGGCCAGGGAGGAAAAAAAAAAGTCATGGTTTATTAAGCACCTACTAGGTGCCAATCACTGTGCTGGGTATTCTGCACACCTTACCTATAAGGGAGCTCAAGTAACTTGCTCAAGATCCAGTGATGGCGGCAGAACCGAACAACCCAGTTTCTGCCTAACCCCAGTGCTGTGGCCTTATCACCAGACCACAGCAGGTCTGCTGCCCTGATGCCCACCTGACTTCCTAAGCTCCACAGAGGACTTGTCTCCACCAGCTGATCCAACAGGCACACTGTGCCCAAAAGCAAATTCTTCCTTGCCTGTGTACCTGCTCATCTCAGGTCCCCTAGTTTAGTGACTGGCTCCGAGTCAGCCATCCAAAGCCACTCAGCTTCGTCCTTCCCTTCTTCCAACACGTCAGCAACCACCTCCTGCTACATCTCCCACCATGCTCTCCGATCCGTTCCAACCCATCATGCCCTATGCCATCTCTCACCCCCTTCACTGCACCAAACCACGTCCTCACTGCCATCGCAAATACACTTCCGGAGCTCAACTCCGGTTGGGAGCTCCCCTACTTAGAACCCTCCAATAGCTTTTGATTGCTCGTTGCTCCTCTCAACAGTTGGGCAGAGCAACGTTTACTATCAGTAAACCTAAGTTTTTAAAGCGTGCACACACACGCACACACAAACCCTGAACCAGAGATAAGGATTATCTAGCTAACATCATCAATCCTATTTTAAATTCCAAGATTTTCTTAATGGAGAAGAGAGGGCTGGTATTAGAGACAGTGGTCTGAGAAGTGTGCAGAGTTCCTGGCCTCTCTCATCTCCAACCGAGCTCATGGCGAGCAGCGACACTGACAGCTACGCTTTAAGTCTTTCGTGGAAACTGAACTTCATGAAGCCTGCCGGGAATGGGTGACACACGTAAATATCAGCCAGCATACACTCTGCAGTGGGGGAAAACGTCCAGCCAATAGGAAAAAGCCCATATTCCCTACTCCGGCCGCCAAGGCCTTCTGAGGGGGCATCCAGCTACTTTGGGGCTTCATGTCTCACCCTCCCCGGCCTCGAGCACCCTCTATCCTCCCACACTCAGCCCCTCGCAGCTCCCTGAAGGTATTATTTTTGCATTTCCAAGCCTTCCCTTGCTATTGCTCACCGTCTAAGTACCCACTCTGCATCCTGAGCACCTGCTCCCCTTGACTGTCCTTGTTGGGACTCCACATCCAAGGGTCAGGGGTCAGATGTGGCCTGTGGGTGAGTTTGCAAAGCCCAAGACTGGGTTCTCGGAGCTCTGGGAACCTGTTTGATTTACCTGTTATTTCCAGTGCCCATCAGAGTGCTTCACACATTACAGGTATTTATCCAGGGTGGGCCTTACACATCACTATGCTCCACTGGCTATTACACAGACTCCCCTTTGGAGTATCTTCAGAAAAACTCTAACAAGCCACAGCTGTCGGGTCCATCCCAAGCCGCCCCAGCCAGCTCACCGCCCATATTCATGCCCTCCTCATCCAGGTCCTGTCCACTGTCGTAGCGAGTCTTTTTCTTGGGATCAGAGAGGATGGTAAAAGCTTCTCCAACTTCCTTGAACTTTTTCTCCTCCTCCTTCTGAACTTCGGCACTGGCTCCACTGTGCCGATCTGAAGGGAGAAGTATGGGAAAAACTCAGAATCACAAGAAAACGATGTTTAAGACAGAGACCACTTTATGTCTGATTTTAGAATCTGGTACTTCCAAAATTTGGAGGGTAGGGA